GGGGGGGGGGGGGGGTACGCAGAATTTATCACGGACCCTCTGCGCACGTGCAAATGGGGAGCGGTGATAAACTCTCATGAAAACGCATGCCGTAGGCGTCCTTAGACCGTTGGCTTCGTAGCCCGACAACGCCGGGAACGAGCAGTATCGCCTATTTTTTCGCCGGCCCAGGCTACGTTCCACAAGGGATGAACCAGAAAGCTAGTGAGGCGGGTGTGTGTGTACTCATAGTGGTGCATGCCGTAGTCGTTAGACCATTGACCTCGCATTTCCACAAAGCCGGGACGGAGCACGCCGGGTTCTCACCGGACCAGGCTCTAGTGAGGCGGGGAGGGGACATTTCTAGGGCATTCCAACTATGCAGTTTTCAGCAGAAATTCTGCTTGTAGAGTGTAAAGTCTAGTGTCACAGGGGGCGGGGGGCATTCGTTTGCTTCTGTGAAAACGTTGCGATATCACCACGCGCGCGTTTGGGTTCGAAGGAGTCAACTCCGCCGCTGACATGCTCATTCGGTTGCCCTGAAACGGTAACGCCGTTCAATAGGACAGTTCTTCACACACTCACACACACACTTCAAAAAGGGGAATAGATTGCAAGGCGAATTACAGGTTCTCCATTCCTGCCTTTTAGGGGGGTCGTGGCCACCAGGAGGGGAGGGGAGGGGAGGGGGCGTCAGCATGCGTTGACTGATCGATTGGTGCCTCTACCTACCGCTGCAAACACCCGGTGGCGGCTTGTCGTTAGAGCGGGGTGGGGGGCCAGGAACACTGCTTGATGCTGTTGTTTCGAAGCTGGAAATCGTGAAAACGTGAACATCATATCTGCCGCAGCCTGTTGCGGGGGTAAAAACAGGGGGCGAGCGATGCCACACCATGGCGAGAAATGAAAAATATATTTGTCGAGAGACATGACAGGCTTTGTCGTCCTGGCGCCAACCTTATCTTTACCTTGCCTACTTATCAGCAGCCGAGATACCTGACCTTCGCGATCGATAGCGTCAAGGGATCACGGGGGGTGTGCTATCGTGCGTATCACTGTGCGCGTTCCCATCACCGGAGCAGCACACTTTGCATCACGGGGTTATGATTGTATGATCAAGAAAGGGGAAAAAAGGGTGGGGGGGGAGGGTGGCGTGTTCAAGAACGACCATAGACACCGGTCGCCCCGGTGGTCTAATAGTGGTATCCTCGTAAGCCGCTAGTCGCAGAGGTCTGGAGTTCGAATACCCATGGGGTGAAAAATTTACGAAATGTGCGGGTGAAAGCGAAATATAGCTGACAAGCTCTCGTGAGTACCAAACTTCGACGTTAGCACCGTTGACGAGGGAAAGGGACGACTGGACCCTTCTCGCGATAAAAATAAAATTCAGCACGCACCGCAGGAGGAAGGTGGGGCACGAAAAGAAATAAAGAGAAGAAAAAAGCCCTGGTGTTTACCCCCTCCCATGTGACCCTGGATGCTTCTAGTTGTACGAAAAAATACACTCAAAAGTGTCGTACTCTACATACGCTGGAAGTGTAGTACACGTCTCACCACGAAAAATGGGGGGACTGTCGCCATCATAAATAGGACGAAAACACACACACACATTGAAAAAGCACGGTGGCATTCATTCTATTTTTCTCTTGCTAGAACACCACGAGTACCGTATGATGCACAAGATATCACACCCCCTGGACCGATTTTCGAGCCTCGATATTCGGCGGGAAAAGCGGTGACGGTGCCGAAAACGGCGGCGTTGGAACCGTCTCGTCGAGAGCTTTCCCAAACATATGTACTTCAATTTCGGCATCCTCTTCGTCGTGGAGTATTCCAGCTTTGACAATCGGCCCAAGGGGTGTGATATCTTATGCAACCTACGGTTTTCATCTCCCATCCGGGATAAACACAATACCCGTACCACGGGATTCGCAGAAAAACCCTACAGCTTCGGTTATAACAAAGTTATGCTTAAAAGTACTATCATTTTCGATGTTGGGGGACGCCATATACATATATACATGTCACGCACTAAATTCAACAAAACTATTTTCAGTGTTGTTTCTTTCCTGTTGCCACATCGTCGAGAACACGCGGCGAAGTTGCACTTGAGTGTGGGTGTACAATTCGTGCTTTGTTATATGTTGAGGGTGTTCGTTGTGTTCGACGCGTAACGCTGAATTTTGAAAACGAAAAGTTTACTGAAGAAAACCTTCACCCCGGCGTCTACTGAAGTAGCATCTGATCGCGACGCGAATGCGAAAGGAGGGAATCGATCGTCCTCGACCGCCGTTGGGGAGATGTACACACCCTGTATGAAGGGATGTCCATATCAATTTTTCCTCACACCATAAGACAAAAATACGTTTAAGTAGTCTAATGTCTCTCATCAGTCTTTTGATTGATCTGCTGTACACCTACTTGCCCTCCCGCAGGCTCTTCGTGATTCAACAGGGGAGGGGCGTGCCACCGCCGCTTGGTACATACTCCATTCAAGGACTACCGGCCTTGTAACAGCCGGTTCTAGCTATTGCTATACCCATGAGTTGGCGGTGAACGGCGGCGGGAGGCACACAACTGCCGGGCTTAGCAGGAACGACGGTCGCTTACCGCAGAGCAGTTTCAAGATGCCGGTGTGTTTGCTGTGGACGGTGGAGGGAGGGACGCCTCTCCCACATCTTGGTAGCACAGAGGAACAACGGCCTTTATTCAAACAGCCCGGTCAATGGTAGCTACCAGTGCCACATCTGTGAACGGCTGCGGGAGGCAAGCTCAGCAGATACAACGGTCTCTACAGCAGGGCAGGTTCTTGATACCAGTGGGTTGCTGTGAACGGCGAAGGAGGTACACACTCCCCCCGCTTCGCTGGAACAAGGACTTCTGGGGTGCGTTTTCGGTGTACGTTCTCAGAGGAATATGTAAAACCATCCCCCCGGCTGGTTACGATAAAGGCCTGCGAGCAGGTGGCTACTTGTATTGGTGTTGTTCTCTGTTGTGATGTTTTCGAAGTTGAAGGACACCCTTCTTCGGGGGATGTTGGCCGGTGACCCGCGAAAGTCGGGCAGGTCAGTTGAAGGAGGACCGTACGGTTACGGGTGTTGGAAGGAGGGGGTATTGATCGGAGACCCGAACGGTTGTTTTCGTGTGGAGATTAAAACAAGAAGCATCAGCAACAGCAACGACTGCGGCTATCCACGTGTCAATTCAGGGTTATTGGCTGCTGTGTAGATGTGCATGCTGTTGGTCGTCATTGCTGCCGCTGATCCCGTTGTCTTTGCTGCTGTTGTTGTCTTTTCACAACACAAGACGAAACCGCGCTGCTGACTTCTCGAAGACAAAGTATGCTCTTCAGCCAAACACGTAGATGCAAGCATAACACAGACAATGCGATGCAGCATCCCCTATGCATCCAACCAATCTCAAGCTGGTGCTGGTGCTGGTGCTACTGCTGGTGCTACCACACATCACATTACATGACGCAGCAGTAGCTGCCGTTTCTCTGGTGCTGAACTGACTTGCAGTTGCCTACAGGGCGAAGCGTATTGCTCTTTCGCCCCCTTTGAACGTCAGCTCCTTTGCTGGCGCAACGCCGCAGGGGGGGTAGAAGCCCGGCCAGCCGTTGGGTGAGATGGCTGACCTTTGGCCTACCGCTGCTGCTGCTATTGTTGTGGTCTGTGTCCATAACCTCCCACCAGCGGCTACACGTACCCCAGATAACCTGGGAGAAACGATGACCCCAGATAACCTGCCTAAACCGAAATAAACGGAAGGGCCGGCTCCAGCTAGATTCATAGAGAGGATCGAATCCTCTTTGGAACGACAAGCTATAGGGCATCGTCGGTCGCTACCGCGCGGGAGTGAACGAGGAGCACACTCCGCAGCAAGCGGCAGGCTACATACATAGTCTAGACTAACATAGTACAGGTGCAAGCGCGAAGTAACGCCGGCGCTCGCCCCGGCGCCTCTTTTTCAGGAGGGCGTTTCAGGCGCGAAGCTACTGCTCCTGTCGAGAACAACCTTCCTACATGCAGAAGCACAAAATAGTCTCCGTTCATACCTCCACCGACAATAGCTTCCGCAGCCGCGCAATCCCGCAGGCAGACAACCACGTGCCGCCGCTGCCGTTTTGTTGTGGTGATCTGTACACAGCTGCTGCTGCTGTCCCCGAAAAAAAAAAGAGGCAGGTCTTTTTTTGCAACACGGATGACGCAGGACTCCAGGCAGGTGGATCTCGTCTCTCCAGCACACAGGCCGTGTGTGCTGATGATGCGGGGGTCAACAAGCGTGTTGCTGTTGCAGTCAGCACACAAACGAGATACTTCTGCTGCGACTCAATGCCACCCCGTACCTCTGTGGATCCGACCGCGCAGCGAGAGACAAGAGGTGCGCGCAAAGCCAGCCATCAGCAGAGAGCGCCGTTTCTACGTTTTTTTTTTGCCGCTGCGGCCCACCGATCCCCCTGTTCTGTGGAGGAAACAACGTAAAAGCAGCAAGTGCGCGATGCCTTCTCGCTCATTTTTACCGTATCCGAGGGCTGGTGCAAACATGCATGCAAAAAACATTCCGTACATCACACCGACCTCTGTTGGTAGCAGCCGCTGTGCTCTCCTTGTCTCGCCAAAGGTCGGCGATCTCCCTGGTGTCTCCAGAACAGCCACCCAGAAGCGTTCTTGGTCTGTGGGTTCCTTTTTTCCACTCCCTGCTGCCTGCTGATTGTGTATGGAAGACCAGCAGACAGACAAAGAGCATCGGCAAGTGACCAGGGCACATGGCACACAGGCAGGGGAAGGGGGAAGGGGCAAAAATAATGGTTTGCGTGCCGGTCCGCAGTTTCGAACCAAAACGCCTACGTTTGACCCCCCCCCCCCTCAAAGCAGTATTTTTTGCGGGATGCGTGGTTCCCTCGCCCTTGTTGGGCTAGGTCTGCCCATAGGCAGCAGCAGCACAGGCTCGTTGTGGCTGCCCCGTACGTGCCACCCTCACCCTTTGGTCCTCCTTGCCCCTATTTTTTTTTCGAAGCAGCTGGACACTTGGCCCGCCGCACGGAAAAGCGAGAGAGAGAGAGGAAAACAATGGAGAAAAAAAAGCACAGCAGGATGTATGATTTCCACCAAGCCCAACAACTCGGACGCTTGCTATTTGTCGTGGGCGCGGCTTCCTGTACAGCAGCAAGTGAGCCATGGAGTGCCCGCCACCACCGGCCGACCACGGCTCGGGCCAGCGTCGACGCGGCTTCTGCTCGGCGAGAGGAGGAACCGCCGCTCCCCCCGCCGTTTCTGCTTGGCTCGCGAACGGCCAGCAGGGATGACGGAAATCATGCGCAGCAATCATCCACAGGAGTAGTTGCAGCGAGTCTACGGTTGTCGCCCTTCTCGCCAAAGCTCCTAGCTTCTCTGCTGCTGTCCCTGAGGGGGGGGGCAGGCAGCAGCCCAGGAGACCCACCGAAAGCAGCGGCCAGGCTTGGGAGAGAAAGACGGGCGGGTGGTGGCCGCGCAGGCTCTGGTAGTGACGGTGGCAAGGAAGACGACTCGGAAGGTAGGCTGTTCAAGCAAACCCTACTACTGCTGTAGCTCTATTCACCTTGGCCTGGTTTCAGAACTCCTGAGGTTGCGTAAGTTACCACCCCCTCCGCTGGAACCGGGTTTTCAAGGCCCGATTTGGTCACACAAGGAAGAGGATGCCACAATCGGATAGAATATTTTTCGGAAGGGCCTCGAACGAGACTGTTCCATCATGCACTGCTGTTCTTTCCCTGCTGTTTGTTGCTGCTGCAGAGTATGTATTGCAGTCGAGCGCTTGAAAATCGGTCATTGGGGGGGGGGGCTGTACCCATAGTCGTGCATGCCGAAGTCGTTAGACCATTGACCTCGCATCCCTACAAAGCCGGGACGGAGCACGCCGGGTTCTCACCGGACCAGGCTCTCACATTACCAAGCGCGAAGCGCCGTGAGATATTCGGCGAGTCGCATGAAGGGTGCGCTGCATCCTGCTAAGGGTTTNGGGGGGGGGGGGGGGTGGTATCTTACAGAGTTTTTGAACACCTACGATGTTCAAAAACAATACATAGGTCGCTCTTGTACACAGCCGGGCCTGGCTGACTCTCGAATCGTCTTGTAAACAGGCGCCACATTCGATTCACACCGAGGCGCCTCGAATGTGTTCGCACGTATGTACATCGCGTGTTTTTCTGCAAGTACTCCCATAGAGACTCTTGTGGTTTTGCGGACGGTTTGACACGTGTCAGTGAAGAGGTAGGTAGGTGCTCTCAGTCCCAACTGTGAGAATTGTATTTTCCAGCGATTCTGCTTCAAAACTATACGTGGTGTCCAACTGCTACTGATATTGACAACGCTCTGATGTGCATGGCTCGTGGTGTGAGACAAGAGAGCGTGTGGACTTTGCCGAAACTTCGTTTGCGTATTTTGTCGTCCTACAGCAGCGTACAGTAGTTATTAATGGCGACATGATGGGGCCCAATTTTCTGTGGTGATACGTGTTACGACACCTTTCAGTGTTAAAGAGTACTACATGTTCAGTGTATTTTTTTCGTACAGCTACAACCATCCAGGGTCACACAAGAGAGGGTAAAAACGTGAAAAAACCGGGGCTATTTTCTTTTTTTTTTTCGTGCCCCATCTTCTTCCTGCGGTGGCTGCTGATTTTTCTTTTTCATCCCGAGAGGGCTCCAGCCGTTCCTTTCCCTCGTCGACGTTAGGAAGCTTGGTACTCACGAGAGTTTTTCATCTTTTTTCGCTTGTTTTAACCGCAAAGTTGTAGAAGTCATTTATTCCATAGGGATTCCAACTCACGATTCTGCCATACTTGTTGCATGTTCAAGGTCACCATTATTGCAGCCTGTGACCACGGGAGTTGACCCCGTCAAGTGTTCGATTAGTACAGACAAAAAAAAGGATGTCACTGGGAAGAGAGAGCGGAATGTTTTTTCATGTGAAGACAAAAGCAAGCAATCACAAAAACTAGACCATCGGTGCAACCGGCGAATAAAAGTACTCCCCTGCCGGGAATTGAACCCGGGTCTCATCGGTGAAAGCGATATATCCTAACCATTGGACTACAGAGGAGATTATACACACACGGAAGAATGAATACCCCTAAAGCTTGCTGGCCTATGACACCTGTCAAGAGGTGGGCGGCTACCGTTCAAGAGAGGGCTGGGACAAGCCGGTATTTCTCTCTTTAATCCGTTTTTCTCTTAAACCGTAGTGTGAAATGTATGTTTTTCTCGTGGTCGTGACAAGGGAGCTTGACGCTCTTATAATCGGTACACTCTCTTGAATAGTGTATCACCACTGCTGTACCCCAACCACAATGTATGTACCAGCCATTCGGTTTCTCAACAACCCGTGGTGTCCATCTGCTACTGGAAATATGTATATGACACAAAGATAACACACCCCGCGGATACACTCTCAAAGCTCGAATACTCCACGACCAAGAGGATGTATAAGTAAACGAAACGATAACTTTTCGGAGAGATCTCGACCAAAAGACTTCAACGCCGCCGCTTTCGGCACCCCTAATCATTATGCTGTCGATAAATCGAGCTCGAATGGAAAATCGCTCCAGGGTGCGTGTTATCTTGTGTCGTATACGGTAGACATCCGCTGGTGTGCTTCGCTCGTGATGTGAGACAAAAGAGCGTTTGGACTTGAACGGGTCGCCGAGTTTTATGTGGACTTGTAGGCATTGCCGCACTCGGAGGGAGCAAACATGTCGAATTCCGTTTATTCGAGCCGTGAAGAATTCGGTCTGTAGGGTGTGCGAATTGGTTTACAAGCTACTTTTCCCTCGACCTACATACTTCTCTTTCGGTTGCCTTTTTTCGTGATTTCCACCGCGACCCCTTTTTTTCCTAGTCGACTCGGAGCCCCCCTGTTTATTGCGCTTCTCGCGCTATCTGCAATATGTCCGCCACGACACCCAAGTTTATCACTACAAGTAGAGGCCCCTGTTTAGTGCCGGGGTCTGCGCCGAAATTTCACCGGCACCAGTGTACTCAAAGTACAGAACAACGACTTGGTATTCCAATGTGTGCGAGCCGAAAACGCCGCTACTGTAGTCGACTTGGGAGGCCCACCTCAAAGCCCCTGCCCCCCCCCCCGGCAGTCTGTTTCAGTTGGTTTTTTCGTGCTTTGTGCAATATCTGTCTCGGCAACGACACCTTTTTTTCATCAATGGTCGGCGTGGATGCCCGCCTCAACCCTCCTCCGCCCGCCTTCTCTTTCGATTGCTTTTCTCGTGGTCTCCACCGCGACGCCTGTCTGTTACCTGTTGTCGACTTG